TGTATTTATTTTTTTTCAATATAGAATCAAAAAGAAAATTGTTTCAATAAAGTCTACATATAAAATGAAAATAATAATTCAAAGAAATACCCCATATTCATATACCAGAGGAAGATAGCAAAATCTAACTTTGACGATTAAGATCAAACTCGCACTCTCTCTGTCACATCCGAGATAGAATTGTATCAATTTGCAGAATGAAAATATATATAAACTCAATGTAAATATATGTACTGTGACAACTCAACTTATTCTCACGCCTCAAGCTTTTGCATTTATATAGTTTATTTAAATTTATTTACATATTGTAAATGTATATTCTGTTTACCATTTGAGGAACGTGCATGTGAGTGTCGATTGGAAATTATTGCAAATTATGAACAGGTGATGAGTTTATTTGTAGCTTTCTTCAGAACGTATTACATGCAATACGGAAATAGCACACAGAATAAACTTTAAATTAAAAAACTATTTTAATCGGATATATACAATTTTGTTTCTGAGGCTAGCAATTGGTCACGTCCCACCCTCCCCTACAATCTAAACTGGGTAAGAATTCCTGAAGTGGCCCCCTAATATTTTTTGTGTAATAGAAAAAAGTGATACCCACATATTTTGGTAGTCCATGATGTCACTAAGAAACCCCTGAAACGATTTTTCAAAATTCGAATTTTTTCATAAGTTATAAACAATTAAACTTTTCTGCAACGTTTTGGAAAAAATTCTGTATCTTGAAATTGGCCAAACCGATTTTAATAAAAATTGGTTTGGAGAAAGATTAAGATACGTACTTTTGATAAATAAATAAATTATGAATAAAAAGTATAATTTGTTTAAACAAATTATATTGTTAATTTTTAACTTTATAAATTAACAATGTTCTCAGTCGATTTTTCCAATTTTTTTTATAGAATCATAAAAAGGGGCTTTTCACGATTCCATCACAAAAATAAAAAAGTGGGATTCTCAAAAACTTTAGAAGATACAGAATTTTTAGTCTTAACGCGCGCAAGTTTTCTGAGCAGCTCACGCATACGGCGCGGCATCTCCCGCGCGCCCCGCGCCAACCATGACTCCATGAGAGTTCCCGATTATAATATTTTATTAACTCAATTAAACTAAACAGTTGTTTATATGTATTTCATTATTCATATCATTTTTGTTTATATTTAATAATTTTTATTATTTATAAAATTTCTGTTTATAATAAGTTTCTGATTATTTAATTTTAATGATAAATTTTCAACGTTTTTTAATTGTTTTGTTTATGTCTCAATGAATAATAAAATATATTATTGCGAATCCGTGTTTTATTTTTCTAGACCGCATTGTTTAACGTTTGCTGTCAAAATTTTAACAAATTTCACGTTTATGCGCACTGAATGAAAATTTGCGTAAAGAAAATACTATGATCTAAAAACGAAATTATCATGTTAGTTTAGTTTAATTGAGTTAATAAAATATTATAATCGGGAACTCTCATGGAGTCTTGGTTGGCGCGGGGCGCGCGGGAGATGCCGCGCCGTATGCGTGAGCTGCTCAGAAAACTCGCGCGCGTTAAGACTAAAAATTCTGTATCTTCTAAAGTTTTTGAGAATCCCACTTTTTTATTTTTGTAATGGAATCGTGAAAAGCCCCTTTTTATGATTCTATAAAAAAAATTGGAAAATCGACTGAGAACATTGTTAATTTATAAAGTTAAAAATTAACAATATAATTTGTTTAAACAAATTATACTTTTTATTCATAATTTATTTATTTATCAAAAGTACGTATCTTAATCTTTCTCCAAACCAATTTTTATTAAAATCGGTTTGGCCAATTTCAAGATACAGAATTTTTTCCAAAACGTTGCAGAAAAGTTTAATTGTTTATAACTTATGAAAAAATTCGAATTTTGAAAAATCGTTTCAGGGGTTTCTTAGTGACATCATGGACTACCAAAATATGTGGGTATCACTTTTTTCTATTACACAAAAAATATTAGGGGGCCACTTCAGGAATTCTTACCCAACTATAATTAATTTTTTTTTGCGTATACATTTTTTTGATTTTTTCACATTTCGTAATTCTGTTTTTTGTGATTTTTCTTATTTATTTGCCTGAATACAAAAAAACCTGTTTTTAAAAAACCGTTACATTTTTTAGGAAAAGTTTGTATATATATATATCTATATATAACTTTGTGTGAATGGCTTAATTTACTTCTTTGAGACAAGTGAGAAAATTAATTGGCTCGGACGTTGAAAGACCTTCATTGAATCTGTCCAGAGCAAGTGGAATGATCGACGGATACGCAGAGAGTGCGGAATCTCGAGAGTGTTCTCCAGGAAACTGAATTTCCAGGAACGCACTTCAACGTCTACTATATATACTGGTACGGAACGTTTGCGTTCACCTAAGTGGTTTGGGTTTGGGTCGTAGTAGTCGTCGTCGGGGATTGTAATTTCTCTCGAACTCATAAGTTGTTCGCACGTGTAACTCTCAGAATTTGAGAAAAAGTTGCCAGTTATGATAATTGCGTCTCATCTAAAGCGTTGAGAGCGCTTGCTTGGAAATTTTTAAAAGTCCACTTGCAACTGCTCTTCAAAATGTTTCAATTTTGTTTCAGTACCTTCTTTTTTATATTTTACCCAATGACTCAAATTAACTCTCTCTTTGTTGTAATTCCTTTACTTAAAAAAAACGCACTCTTTTCGTTTAAAATCAAAATGACAAAGTTTTAGCTTTCATAATATAATATATATATATATATATATATATATATATATATATATATATATATATATATATATATATATATATATATATATATATATCGTGGGAAATTATCATACACCACTCATTTTCTTCAGGATTTCTATAAATTTCTTCGAAAATAATTATTATAACAGCATGTGATTGTATAAAGTCACGTGATCACTGCAATTTTAATTTGTCAAACTATGTATTTCTTGTATAAAATTTTGAATGGATTACACCCAGAGATATATTTTATTTGCTTTTATATTTGAGATAAAATTTATTTGAATCAAATAAAAATATATTTGTCTCAAAGTATCTATAATAACTTTTTGTTTCAAATTAAAAATATTTAATTTAGTACAAATAAAATTTTATTTAGTGTAATTGAAATTTTTATTTAAACCAAATAAAATTTATTTGCAACAAATAAATATTTATTTAACTCTTCCACAAACATACACCCGGAGAAATAATATATTTGTCTCACAGCCTAATAAATATTTATTTGATTCAAATAAATTTTTATTTGATTTAAATAAAAAATTTTATTTACGCCAAATAAATAGGCTAGTGGGCTGTGAGACAAATATACGTTTATTTAATTCAAATATATTATATTTGGTTCAAATGAAACATTTCTCTGGGTGTATACATCTCATTTTTTTGGGTGTTGAACTGAAATTTTGTGGAGAACTCTTAAATGTGATTAATTATTTATTATATAAACAAAAAATTGGTAAAATTATAGAAAATATTATCATCTGAGTTAATTATTTCAAATAAAACTATTTATGGTTTTATTATTCTATTAAATTTAAAGTTTTGTGAGTAAAATCATTTTTTTTAAGATATTTTGGATAAATAATTTTATTATTATTATTTATTATATATGTTTCTCCAAAAAGGTGATAATCTTTTTTAAAAAATCTTTTTTTTAATTGTAAAATTGAAATAAAAAATGACATACATTTGCAAAATGTATGTTCTTTTACAAATTTAAAACAAACTTTGCTATATTTATAATTTTTGATATGTTGTAATATCCTAAAGAGGATATACCAAAGTTGATATCGAAATGTCATTGTGTGACGTAATATAATAAAATTATTTATCCAAAATATCTTGAAAAAATTACAAGTAATTTGTCATTTTAATAAACAATTAAATAAGAAATAAATAATTTTTTAAAAAAAGGAATATACTATAAGAATAAAAAAATTCCTAAAGAAAATATAAACAAAAAAGTGACAAAAGAGAACGAAATTAGTGCTCGCAGGTAGAAAGTGTATAGAAAAAGAAAGGGGGAAAAAAAAGTTTTAACTAAAAATATATCTATATAAGTGAAGTCGGTAATTTTTGGAAATTAGTAGGTTATTAGAGGGAAGATTTGAGCGCAGTTGAAGAAAAAAAGAGAGAAATGAAGGGACATGGTAGGTTGCGTTTGAGAAAAAAAAACAGAAAAAAAATGAAAGGACTAAAGAAAAAGGAACCCGGGGGCTACCGCGAATAATTAATAGCTTAATTTCCACCTTTCAGGAAGTCGTTATTCTCGCGCCCGCCAACGACGAAGACATCAACCTTGTACTCAGGAGTTCTCACCCGCATGATGAATAAAACTTTATCGAACACGAATCGCTTCTTGTAATAAAATCGTTATAAAATACATTATCTGCGTGCTTTTACAGGCTTTAATTACACGCCTCAGATGAAATATTATCAGGCATCAGTGTTGATTATGCAAATTAGTGTAATATCGTGATTCCCGGCTTTTATAATGAACGACCGATTGTGTTCAATTCATTACAAACAATATATATATATATATATTAATGATTATATTTCAAAATTTCCATAAAGAATGTGTTAATTAGAGCATTTTATTTATTGTATATATAGAAATTTCCTGACTTTTTAATATTTTTTAACATTTAATATTCAGTAAATAACTGATAATTATAATTTAAAGTTGAATATATATTTTTGTTCAATTGAAATTTATTAATTTGCCTATGAAAAAATCTAATCTTCATGAGGGATCGAACTCCTGGATTTCGATTCGTGAGCCGAGAGCTCTAACCACTGGACTATCACACATAGTAAAAACTTGGGTAACTCATATTGCAATTTTCATACAACTATCTTCGCAAAAATCAATCTTTTCTAAAAAAAATTGAATTATACAGCAGTAGTAAATCCTTTTTCCTTATCATTTATACCAATTATAATTTTTATTAATTAATTATATTGCTACATACCCAGTGAAAATTGCAACCAATCGTACTTGTATCAATATCAAAAATTGTGACAAAGATTCCTGTAACAATAAAAAATAATAATACGTGTAAAGTTTTTTTTTTTTTTTGTCAAGTATAAAGCCATTTACATGCAAATTATTTAATTAAATCAATGAGGAAGTTTCGTTGGAATATATTATATGAAGAGAAGGAGAAGTGAAATTGAGACAGTAGTTTAGACAAGGCCATCAAAGAGGGCTGTCGGTGAAAGATTGCTCCTCATCGTAGGGGCATGTATAAACATACGCGACACACGCAAGAAGACACTTTGCTATACATGAGTCGGTGGCATGGCGTATTTTCGGCCGAGCACGAAATTAAGATGTATCGCCGAATCTGGTGCGGGTAATTTGCATGTTCCGCGACGCCTACGCGCGAGTGCAGCCCACCCGCAATACACCCGAGTACATCCGATGGGCCCACGGGGCCTTCATTCTCTCAACCCGAATTACGTCAACCGTCAAAAATTTACGGAACACGAGCTATCTCTTCTTCTCATTGTCACCTGATACTCGTCGAGGCCACTCAAACAACGGGAATTCACGCCTCTTTTCTTTTTTATTCTTCATATCTTTACAATATATATATATATATATATTTCCATTTTGTTGCACACACAAAAAACCAGACGGGACACTCGTAAAATAAATTTGTCTGATTCACATATTTGTGTATTATACTATCGACTCGAATTTCAAACTCCAATTTTGGATGAAGTCATATAAAAACAGGTCCAAGTTGATTTAAACGATTTTTTATTTTTTTGCAACAAATATTTAAACTACTATTTGAAATGGGTAAAATATTTTTTGTTTAAAGATAAAATGATTATTTTTTATCCTTTTTTTTTTAATTTGAAATAAATTTTAATTTCGTCGAGTTCATAGAAAAATATGTAAATTTTATTATTAAATAATTTAAAAACAAAATTGCAAGATACAATTTTTTCTATTTTGTTGTACCTACTACCTACACTAAAATATTGATAATTATGTTATTTGCACACCCAGAGAAAAGATTTCTTTGAATCAAAGAAATCGTTTTTTTAAAATCACTTTTTGAATCAAAGATAAAATTTTTTTGAGTTCAAAAAAGTTTTCTTTACTTTTACGAAAAAAAAATTTCAAAGTGTTTTGAATCAAAGAAATTTTTTCTTTAACTGATATTTTTGATCTAAAAAAAAATTTCTTTGAAACAAATAAGAAGCCAAGTGCATTTAAAGAAATTATTTGTTGGATGTATTTTTTTTGAATCAAAAAAGTATTTCTTTAAATTAAAGAAATATTTCTTCCACTCATACGTCGTTACCGCCGGGGTTACCGCGACTACGCGTAGACTGAACCGACTCGTGGCAACAGCGTGTTCATCGTGTAATAAGTGGTGTGATTATACATGGATTAAACAGTTTGGTGATAAATTTCGAAATGAGCGACAAAAAAGTTTGTCAACTTCTTGGTACTTGGGGGTTTGCCGATACAATCCCAAAGTTTTATGTTAAGTCATGTGTATATAAAAACAGTTAAAGTCATCGATGTACGCATAACCTCACTTTCTTGGTCTGAACAATTTTTTCCTTATGAATTTCATGCTTTCACAAGCAATTCTTATTATTTTCAATTATTATTCTTATGCTTTCCAAATTTTTTAGTAATATATTTAATATGGATTTTATTTTTTTAATTAGTATAATGTTTGAAATGTAGGTGTACATATATAAATAAGAAAATTAAATTCTGCCAGGAAGTGTTAGAAAAAAAAATGGTAGTACAAATAATACAGATTTAAAAGTATTTATAGTTATAGTAAAAGAAAATTCTGTATTTCAATGTGTTTTTATGCGTAATGCATACTTCGTTTATAATGTGTTTAAAAGGTTCTAATAAAAAAATCACTGCCAAAAATTTTAATTGTGTGAAATTTTCATTTTAATTGTTTTTTCTTTATAGATTAAACCTAATAATTAAAAAAAATTAATAAATTGTCTTTAAAATACGTTTTTAAGTATTTCAAATATTTAATTATATAATAATTTTTACTTTTGAATAAAAATATGAAACATAAAATTTTAAAACAAAAAAATAATTTTATTAAATCAAAATAATTTTTTTTAAATAAAAAAAATAATTTTTAGAAAAAAGAAATATTTCTGTATATATTTAAAGCTATTTTACCTTAATTTAAATAATATATTTATTAAAACAAAAAATATAACTTCGATTCAAAGAAATTTCCACATTAAAACAAAAATACTTCCTCCATGAGGAAGCAATTTATTTCTTTAACTTAAAAAATTTTTTAAATGGAAAGAAATATTTCTTTGATTTAAATAAAAAAGATTTATTAAATTCAAAGAAATATTTTTTTGATTTAAATAAAAGATTTATTAAATCCAAAGAAATATTTCTTTGAGCCAACAAAAAATAGGCAAAGAAATAATTTCTTTAAATCAAAGAATCTTTTTTTTGACCCCATAACAATGCACATATTTCTTTGATTCAAAGAAATGTTCTTTGAAACAAAGAAACTCTTCTCTGGGTGCAAGAAGTAGTTCGTAGTCTAGTGTTTAGGCTTTTTAATTTGCGTTGCAGAGTTTGATGGTTCAAATCCCAGCGGTGTTAAATTTTTATTCGATAAAAAATAATTTCAATCGAGAATATGTATATGTTACGGTCAATGTCGATTATTGAGCATTGTCGACAATGCACGGTCTATCTTGGGCAATGTTAAAAATGCTATAGTTAGAGTCTTAATGATATAAACAAAGTTTATATTATTTCCTTCACAATAAAGTTTCGATAATCAATGCTTTTGTAGTGTTAAGGAAATTTGTATTGACTAGTTTGTGATCAACTATCGAAAGTTAACGACGCGATTGATATTGTACGCGACATGGAAGCTTCAATCGATAAAAACCGATTTAATAATAATTTTATTATTATTATTATTATCTGCAAAACGTGCAGATAATAGTGCCTTTCTTTCTTCTGTTGAATACGAAGAATACGATGATTTAGGAGAAGAGTACTAAAGTTTTGTATTTAGAAATAGAAAGTAGGAACGTAAATAAGTGACGATTATACTATTTTGAAAACTTTTGGACTGAATCCCAAACAGTTTTAGAATAGTTGATCAAATTTTATCCGGGATTCGCATTGGTAGACTTTTAGAACTCGATACAACATCCTAGTACTCAATATTTACATTTTAATATAGAATTCTAAACATAAATTATTCGCCTTAAAATTCAGTATTCAGTACTAATACTGAAAATTCGTTTTTTCTCCGTGAATAATTAAAAGTGCAGTTCTAAATGTCACAGCAGTTTATCATGCAACAATAAATCAATAAAAAAAAATTTGGTACTTAAGTTACAGTGTTTTTACTATATCAATTATTTTTTTATTATTAAACAACATTGCCCAAACAAATGTGGGCAATGTCGACTTTTCCCGAGCATGGTCGACAATGCCCGAGCACTGGCACATTTTTTTGAACTTTATTAAAAATACTCGGGCATTGTCAACAATGCCCAATAATCGACACTGACCGTAACATATATATATAAAACTAAAACAGTTTCCCAGGTGTGAGCTTACTGTTAAAAAAATATTAGTTAATTTCTCTGTTAGATATTTACCAAAATTTGTTTGAAATAATCAAATTTTTGTTGAATAAAAAGAATAAATGTTTTGCTTGTTAATTAAACTTTTCATTGGATCAATAAAAAGTTGATTTTGTCTCAATTAAATTATTCCTTCGTTTGAAAAATTTATTAAAATAAACTTAACGTTTATTTGAATCAAACAATTTTTTTTTTTTTTAAATAAAATTTGAATGTTCTATTTAAAAAAAAAATTGAACAAATCTGTATCTCAACAGAGTTTTTTTTGTAGTAACTTGTCGAAAGACAATTTGTAAAAAATTAAATTTCTTTTTTTTTGACGGGTAATTTCGTGTAAAGACCGAGAAAAGTGCTGTAATAAATTCAGTGTTAGATTTCACACTTGAGGGTTTTGTGTTGGAAACAACTTGGGAGATGAGAAAGTTAGTGACGCGTACCAACGTTACGCCTGGTGTTCAGACTCAATTTTATATCCGCTTTTATCTTCGACCTCCGTAACCAATCTGTCGAGTGTCTCTTTCGTTTTCGTCACTTAACATTCAAGTCACAAAAAAAGACATATTTTTAGGCCCACGCACATACTTCCATACAATTTCTGTCTTTTAATATTTATGTAAAAACAGTCTTTTTCACTCAAACAGCACCTTTCGCTTCATGTCACAAAAATTCTTATAAATTACTCTCATTTCATGTATTAAGTCAAAAATGATAAATCAATAAAAATTTCACTTAAAAAAAAAAAAAAAAAAATACAAACTGATAAAAGCGAGTTACACCAGAATTTATTTTTTAATAATTACATAAAAATTTTTTTCATTTTCTGTTTTTCTTGTGACAAATTTTTGGGATTTTGTTGTTTCCAATAGAATTTTATGTTTTTAATCGTAAAAAAAGTGGTTGAGTTTGCCAAAAGAAATAACATTTGTTGAAATTGCAGTATTGTTTTTAACAACACAGAAAATTAAAAGGCATTAAAATAAGCTGCAACGCTTATTATTTTAATCCAATTTTGCTTATTTTAATACCAAAATGGATTAAAATAAGAAAAATTGGATTAAAATAATAAGCGTTGCAGCTTATTTTAATGCCTTTTAATTTTCTGTGAAAATAACAATTGCACGTAATTATTATTTATAAAAAATATATATCTAACCTTAATCTGCAACATATATTTGGGGGATCTCGGATGAAGTGATCAAAGTAAAAAAAAATTTTGTCTCAATTTCGCTCAAACTGGAGTAATTTGTACTTCTATTGGGTGGTAATTTATCGTAAAAAAATTTTTCAATTTGGACCAATATTTACTCGGGGGGAGGGGGTTGAAGTTTATGGGTAGCGTTTTCTTTAATAATTTTTTTTTCTTGAGTATCAAAAAAAAAATTTTTATCAACATCAGTT